TAGGTTTAATTTATCGTGCGATTAATTGATTTATCGTTTATCGCGACAGGCCTAGTTGCAATAATAATCTTTTTTTACTCTGGTAACTAATACCGTCATAATCAATTATATGATAAATTAAAACAAGCTCAATAATTTCCATCTGCACGATTTATCGTTTTTCTCTTAAGCAGTTATGAGTCATGGAAGAAAAACCTGAAAGTGCCGCTATGCCCGTTACTAAGCAGGTTGTTGCTAGGTAACCGAAGTTTGAGGAGAACTTGAAACTGCTTGTTACCCAGCAAGTTGGTAACAACCGTCATCTTGGTAGGTGAGCACAGTGCAAAGATGAACCATGGCTTCCCAGCCAACAGAAAGAAAGCAGAGTACTCAAAAATTATAATTAAGTAATAGCTGCAATGTACTTATACCGTTTATAAATTAGATATTAGCAAAACAAGAGCTACTTCTTATATTGTGGCTAGTTTATTGTTGTCATAGCAGCTGTCATGATGGCTAGTTACGTATGCTTACCAAGATGGCCGTCACCTACAAAGTTTCCAGAAGTGTGACACCACATGAGAACGACTGTATCTATATAATAAATATTCTATCAGATTTATTATCTATTGATATTGATCATGTCTATCTCGATATATTGATATTGATTTACTGTCCAGCCCTAATTAAACAAAAAGTAAACTAAAAAGCATTAGTTGCCGCCCTTTTTGATTATTGGCAACATGAATTTAAACAAGTCCAAGTCTGGAGACATCAGACTGCAAATGAAATGTTTATAGTTATAATAACGCTGCTGCTGTTCTGTAGACATGTAAACATGAAGGAAAGACTAATGAAGAGCCCAGAGTCTTCAGATTTTAACTACCTGATGATTAGCAGCTTAAAGACAGGAAAGTCAGCAGACAGACCTGATTATTGCTTTGTGACATGTTACAACACTCGCACATCAGGAATGTAGGACTGCAGACTGGCTTTGCAGCAGTGAACATTACTGTTACTGAACGTAGCTCAACACAGCTGAGATAATAAACAACCCGTCTGGGAGGTCAATGCTAAGGAAAACAAACATGGCTGCCAAAAAAGATCAAGATCCCCTTGAAGAATGTTGTTGTTTATCTGAAACCATATCGATTGAATATCAATTACCTCTCATTTCCAGTTAAACAAAATGTCCAACATTTTCTAATGCAACTTAGAACTGCTTGTAATTTTTATTTAAGGCTATTTTAGGAACATTTGTTACCGTCCAGTTTGTCTTGACCTCTAAAGATGATCTGATGATCTTATATGTTAAGCCATAAACACAAACACAGTAAAAGGTACCTTTGCAACCTCGGCTCCTAAACTAAACTTTTTGCATTGTGGGTCATAATTTTGTTTTTTCCAATTAAAAATTACATTATTTTCTGTATGTCTCACTAAACATCAGTATTTCAATGAAGAAGTAGAAAATATAGTGTTTTAGGTTATTAAAAAGCCCCAATTTACCAAAATAAAGTTTCCTGTGGAATGAAATATTTTCTATTTTCTTGGTGTAGAAATGTTTATTTCCACCAACAAGAAAAAGTTTCCTTTAAAACCCTTTAACCGAGCTCAATGGATATATGAGAAACAAAAAAACATGGTTAAAAAATAAAAATAAAAAGGGAGGCATTTAACAACTGCTAATTATAGAACAGTAGTTTTCTAAGGAGTCTATTGTATTAAAATGTGGCTCTCACCCAGCAGGAAGTCTCTCAGGGCTGTTTTAGTTTGGTTTCATAAACTCTCACATTTCATGAGGCTGAATCTGAAATACTGTTAATGGAAATTTTTAAAAAAGAAACTATTACCTAAATAAAGAACAGCTGTTAACAGTGTTTATTGTGATTTAGGTTGCCATGACGTTGATGAGCGTTGGGTCACATTTTTACTTCCTTGCATTGATTTTTCTGCCACATTCAGCAAATGCAAATAAAAAATGTTAAATAATCTGGTATAATCCATAATCCCAGGTGAACAAAACTACACCTCAAATACTCCAACATGTCATAACTTTTTAGACAAAACTGGAGTCCAGATGTCTTTTTTTTTATTTAAATAAACTACATTCAAAATATTCTGGGTAAGTAAAATATGTAAACAGTAAAAATAAACATTATGTACTTTATTTTGCAATAAACTGATTATTACTTGAGTATGTCAGTTGAAGGTTGGTTAGCATAAATGCATGATAAAACTGTAAATAATGGGAATAGTAGCAGTTTTTAGATAGTAGGATTTAATAAATAAAAAAGTAAGTGACCTTTCAGTGGTTGCTCCTTGACCAATCTAAAATCAGTCACTAATTACCTTTTTAGCTTCCTTGCCTTAAAAGATCCGGCTTCAGTCACTGATTCAACCTGACCTTGACTCCTGGATTTCATGTCTGCTTTACTGCATTCATTCTTTATACCTAACATAAACTAAATTGTTTTAAGGTAACATTTAATGTGAATTTGTGGCTTATAAATAAACTGAAACAATTTGATTTTATTACTCTGATATAATATTATTACATGGTTAATACTGCATTGGTTGCACCAGTGCAACTGACAACGAGTCAAACAAGTTGACCAGGTGCAAACTTCATTTTTTTTTAAAATAACTGTCTATTAAGCGAATTTTGATTTGTAAAAGATGAATTAACAACCTAATAAACACAAAGTTATTTGAATTTGAAGCAGAATTGCACAAGATGTGTAGTATATTTGAAGTAATTTTCCATAATCTATCAATAGTCTATTATACAGTTAATGTGTTTATGTGTCTCCAATGCCAGCAAGAAAGTCCTCAGTTTGTTTTTTTTAATAAACTCTGGTCATAATTCACAAATAAATCATAGCTGCACCATATTAGGAAAACAAGCATTATTGCGATGACAGTTTTAATTCATCCAAACTCATCTCAGTTTTTTATCACTCTTTTCAATCTTTTTTGTTTTTAATCATGATTTCCTCGTCAACCTGCATTTGCATGCAGTGTTTGAATGTCTCCTATCAAACACTGCATTTCAGAAATCCTGAGTGATATTACACACAGTAATATTGCTCTAAAGCTAAAGCAAATTATGTCTGATATTTATGCTTCCCAATTATGATTTGTCTCCATAAAATATGAAAATGACATTGGTCATTTTATAAGCACAAAATGGAAAGAGAGATGCATGTACATGAGTGAATTAAAGGTGGGTGACAATAACTAGAGGAATAAATTGACCCGCTGCCCCGGTTATTTATTCTATAAGAAATTGGCACAAATGGGACAAAAATAATTATATTTGTAGGAGTTAAGTAGTTCACAGGAAATGGACTGCAAAAATAGATTATGAAAATGAGCAAATGGAAATATAAATCATTTAGTCTTCATTAAAATTAATTAATAACTACCAAATTTATGTTACTTATCATAAGCTGTTAATTGATAATAGACTGTGCATGAGTGTTAAAGTAATTAAAAAGGACTTTTAGTCATGTAAAGAATGAAATTTCAATGAGTTAAAGGGGAAGTGCCATTCATCTGGCTCTACATAACGCTTCAGTTGGCCTGACACCTTCAGCTGTGTACGAAATTACGTCAAGGTGACGGATTAAATGAAATATAAAAGTACAGTTCTTAGCACGGGAATGTTAATACAATGCAGTTGATATTATTATTACAGAAACACATTAGTTTACCCAACGAACATCTGACTGCAAGTTGAGTTTACACTGTTGTAAATAAAATAAAAATAAAACATTATTTAAAACTGTTATTGTGAATTTAAATGCCACCTTTATTGTTTCTCGTTTTGGAAGCAGCTGTCCTGAGCTAACGTTAATTTTGACGACATATTTTAGCTGCTGTTAGCTTGCGTTAGCATTCGACTAGCCGCTAATTTGGCAACGTAAACAAGTCTTCTGCTGCCCTTACGTCAGAATTTGACACTGACACTACATAATACCACGGACATCAACACTTATCACTTCCCATTTATTACCATTCATCAGCAACAGGAGGTAAAATATTAAACTTACGGTGCCATAAAAAGGTCTAATGCTGTTACTGCTGCTGCTGCTTTGGAACGCTCGACTCGCTGTTGTTGACAGTTTCCACGAAGCCAATTTGACAGATGAATGATTGGCGTCAGAAACAGCCAATTAGAAAGAAGTTTTGTTTGAGAAGGCGTGGCTAAAACCCAGTGTGGGCCAATAACAAATGGCCAAGGCAGGTAGGAGAACGTCGGCACCGCCTGTAGGTGAAAATGAGGACTACACCTTCTTTTCAATGAAGACATGCACATATAGCAGCTAAAATAGGATAACTAATTATTTAACGTTAATAACTAAAATAACAGATAGAATAACCATTTTAATGCGACAGACTGGCGACCTGTCCAGGCTGCACCCCACCTCTCGCCATGCACCAGCAACCCTCCCGACCCCACTAGGGACAAGGGCGTATAGAAAATGGATGGATGGATGGATGGATAATTATTTTAATTGCATTTTTACTCTTTAAAAGGTTATGTTTTGAAATGTTATAGCAGTGTAACCTACCAAGGGGCAAAATATGGCAAAATATGCTATTTTTTCCCCTTTTATATGAAATAAAGCAATAACTAACTAAATATTCAGTTTACTGCATGACTTTGATTAAACCAGTGGTGTCCAAACCTTTTGCCATTAGGGCCAAAAGCTTAGAGAACTCAGTGGCCATATTTTTTAATTAAAGTTTAAAAGATTTATTTTATAATTCATTTCTTGTTTTATCTTTCCAATAATATGGTAACTAGACATTATTTTAATGAAGTAAAGTAGTCTAATTCTGGTAGAAAAATAAACTGTAAATTGTTACTACAAAATATAAGCAGTATCTTGCAGAGTCGCTGTATTAAATGAGAGGTAAATATTTCCCAAAGTTTTTTAGGGTTATTATCTTTATTTAGTTTTCTTTTATTTCATTGTTATTTTTTAAGTTTGGCAACAAATGTAGTACTTACTGGATTCAGCAAAAATATAACCAATGAAAACAGAAATATTGTTAACAAAATAAAAATACTTTGTCTTGCACCTAGAAAAAAATGTCTTGGAGCATTGTATTTGTAAATAAAATAAATAATAATATATTTTATTTGTATGCACCTCTCTCAACATTTAAGATTATGTTACACAGCTTAACAAAAAAAACAGACACAATTTTGAATTATACAGTAAAATTAAGTACAAAATATGATTTAAAAAGATAGAGAAATTGCAATTTCACAGACTTTTGACTGTGAAAATCTTGAATTAATTATGAATTCACTCTTGATTTGTGGGCCAATCAAAATAATCTGGAGGGCTGTTCTTTGGACAGCCCTGATTTAAACTATCTCTCTATCCATAGTTTCATCCATAAAATATTCAAAAGATAAAACTGTCACATTTAAAGCTTCCTCGTTAATGTTGCTGGTAAACCACCAGTCCAGGTCTTGCTACTTGTCCTGTTACTGGTTTATTGCATAAAAAGTTCACTTTCACTGAAAAAACATCAAATTTCACCAAGTATTTTTGTTAAGTTTCTGAATATCTTAATACACTTGATATAAGACAAAACTAACTTAAAATAATATTTTAGCAACAAATATGACCTTGTTTAAGTAAATAATTCCTTAATATTGATGATAAATTATTAGTTCTACTGGCAGATTATTTTATTTATAACATTTCTACCACTGTAACTAAAACTTTTTTTTAATCAGTTTTAATGAGTTATTAACTTAATAAGCTCCTATGTCTCTCTGAAGAGTTACTTATAAGTTAGTTTTGTCTTATGTCAAGTGTAAAAGGGTATTTGCCCTAGATACTATAGACCAAAAATAGTATTTGGTTTTTTGCCATAACTGATGCTAAAGTCCAGATATGCGGTGTGATCTTGTCTCCATGCAGCAGGACGAGCTGCAGCTGCAGCATGAAGTGCCAAAGCTGACGTCTTCGCCGCGATGATGCGTGTCTGCAGGAGGCTGTTATTGGGGCTATGAAAGGGGCATTCTGGTTTACAAGGCTCCTCTGTGAATAAGTTGAACATGAGGGGTGGAGGGGCTGGGCGGGACGGCTCACACAAATACCATAACTGTGAAAATAAAAACAGCAGAACCTGCAGTTTACCTCTTCAGAGGACAAACTGCACTGTCTGCAGTAAGAGGAAGCTTCTCTGCTTTCTTTTTTGTTAAAGTTATTGACTTCCAGCTGCAGGTCAGAACAGGACAGGATTATTGTTTTAACAGTTCTGGCCTTTGCTTTTGGACTCGGCTGCCTTCTCTTCAGCAGGCGGCAGATCTCCAGTTTCTATTGCTTTTGGCTCAGATGACCATGCTGTACCACCGTCCTCCCCTGCCGACAGAAACCTTCCCGCAGCATGATGCGGCCGTCAACAACTAAATTCATGAAAAACACTGCATTATTTTTCTAAACATTTTATATTACACCTTGTTTTAATTTCAGATTTAATGGGATATAAAAATGTATTCACACCTTCTGAACATTTTCATATTTTGTCACATTGAAACCACAAACCTGAAGAACCAAATACCATTTGCATTTATATTTGTGTAGTTTGCTCAATCTTTAAATAAATGCTGCCATTTAATATCAATAAGAAACTGCCATTTTGAAAAAAATATACATTTGACACACATTACAAAGTAATTAGTTTGCACTTTTATGTGGTTTAGAAGTCCAGCATGTTTGGTTTGTGCTGCTGGAAAACTGCTGGAAAAGTGTTTTTTAGTTGACTTACCATTCAGAAACCACTTGGTGCATTCTTGTTAGTTGTGCAGAAGGTTCCAGTTCTGCTTTTCAAAGATGTGTGGTTATATAATTGCAGATCTGTTCACAGCCATGTTCACCTTTGATGGTTAGCATTGAGTGAGGATTGAGTGCCAGAAGCAGCTTATTTGAATTTAAAGTGACAGGAGGTCCTAAAACAGCTAATTCTGAAAGGAACCAAGTAAAATCTCATCATCTAAGAATGATTTTGTGTAAAAAATGAGTAATGAATATCTTTTGTATCTCCCATAGAATTATTCTAACCTGTTCAACGAAGCATAATATGTTACCTTTAAGTCTCAATCTCTATTTTTGTCTTCTTTACTTATATTTTTTACTTGAATGTACTTGTGTCTTTCGTAAAGGTGATGATGGTAATGAATAGTTTTCCAAGGGTCTGTCAATACGGCTAATGAAGCTGGTGAGAGTGATCCTCAGCAGCTGAAACACAAACAGTCTAACCCTCGTTAACCTTCCTGTTTCTCTAAACTCGGCCTTTCAAACAGTTTGGCTGTGTTGACAGAAAATTCCTCCAGTTTGTCAAACGGTTCAGTCATTTCACCCGACCTCAACTCCAGTGTAAACACCGTGGCTGGGGGACACACCTTATTCCAAAATATCGCCAAAGAGGTGGGGAATCTAAATACGGCGAGGAAACTTTGAACAACTTGGAACAGATGGAGACATAATCTAACTGTACACAGACTCCACAAACTGGTCGCTCAGTTGGGCTTAAATTCACTGGTCAGCCTTTAAAATGCATCATTCTCCTGATTGGAGCTAAATTAGGGCCATAATGTTTGTTCACAAAAACAAATTTAACTGAGAAAAAAACTTGAATTTGTAAAGTATTTTTGAACATTTCAAACTTCTTTCCAGTTTCACACTTTTTTCAGTTTCAAAATATTTTTTTTTATTTTAAAACTTGTTTAAATTTTACATCTTTTTTCAATTTTTTTTTTTTTTTTATTTCAAACATGTTTTCAGTTTCAAATCTTTTTTTAGTTTCAAAATATTTTTTGGTTTCAAATATTTTTTTTTTTCAATTTCAAAATATCTTTTTAGTTTCAAACTTTTTCAGTTTCAAATCTTTTTTTAGTTTCAAAATATTTTTTGGTTTCAAATATTTTTTTTTTTCCAATTTCAAAATATCTTTTTAGTTTCAAACTTTTTCAGTTTCAAATCTTTTTTTAGTTTCAAAATATTTTTTGGTTTCAAATATTTTTTTTTTTCCAATTTC